CAAAGTCACCCAGCTGCATTTTGTGCCTAAGGCGGGACTAGAACTCCGTTTCCTGGTGATTGGGCCAAAGTCACCCAGTTGCATTTTGTGCCTAAGGCGGGACTAGAACTCCCCGTCTCCTGTTTCCCAGGCCACCCCCTCAACCACTAGACTAGACCAAACTGTATAAACTAACGCTCAGAAGCTGCCTTCCCTCCATTGCTGTTCAACTACAGAGCCCAGTAGCCCCATCCAGGAAGGTCTGTGACACACACACCCCGGGGCCCCCAGAGCAGCTCTACCTGAAGGGGAAGCTGTGGGCGATGCTGTAGGCCATGGTGCCACTGATGGCCACCAGCTCCAGCAGGATGGCGTTGAAGCTCAGTCCCTCCGCGCTCTTGGCCGCCAGGATCTTCAGGATCTGGGGCAGCTTGACTGCGGAAAGGGGGGTGCGGGGCAGACAGCAGACCGGAGGAGGGTCGCATCCACCTCTTCTTCGTCTGTGACCCCCCCGCCACACACACCCTCCATCCCTGGGCACCACCACGGAAGGCCCGGCTCACGGATGCCAATGGGCACCCTCTGCCACCTGACAGGCCAGCCTCTGCCCCTTCGGGACCAGGGAATTGAGGGGAGGGGGCAGGTAGATTGGGGTGGGGGGAGAGGGAAAAGAAGGGGGGCCATGCTGGAGGCCCGGAGGGGTTGGCATGAGCCCAAACCAGCCACCTCTCTCGGTGTGGGGGAGGGGTGCATCGATTATTCCACTGTACCCCCAAGCCACCCCATCCCAGGGCCACCACTGAGGGTCACAGATGCCCCCTCCCCAAAATAATCTCTCGGGGGGGCGGGGACAGAGGCTTCTATCTGCAAGAGATAGTGGCCATTGCCTTGATGGGTCCACCGAGGCTTCTCTGCCACCTCTGTCCCTTTGGGGCTGGGGGGGATTGTTGGGGTGTGTGTGATTCTCTGCCACCTGACATGCCAGCCTCTGGGATGGGCCTGCCAGAAGGACTGGGGAATTCTTGGGGGGCAGGCAGATTGGGGCTTGGGGGGTGGAGGAAGGGAAGGGCCTGCTGAGCCCAAACCAGCGACCTCTCCCTATACAGGACGGGGGGGGGAGGGGCAGGGATTCT